TCAGGGAAAAAAAGCACCGAAATAAAGCACCGAAATGTGCGCTGCTTTTCGGTCTGGTTACTACCGTTTATGTCAGAACCGGTGCCATCAAGGCACCGGATACCGGTACCCATCCCTAGTTGTGATACAGGTATGCAGTGTTTTCCCTTCTCCAAACACAACACTTCTCATTCGTATTAAAGATTTCTATTTTCTCATATCTGTCCAAAGAAAAAACCCTGTTCTAATACTTCCTTGTTCTTGAAATAATAACAGGTTACACACTCACTGATTCTAGTAGGGTTGTCAAAAGAAGACGGATACCATTTTATACTAAAAATAAATATTTGATAGATACTCATCCCACAGTATCATGCAGCAGTATTGATACCAGCAATGCAAACCTACAAGCACACAGCTCCTCCTGTCACAAGTAGCTGAGGTAGTTGAAATTCACAACACCAAATTTTCAGGAGGTCAGTAGAGCTCCCATTTCAACAACAGAGAAATGGCTATCATAAATATTAGCCTGGATGGTGCACACATTAACATTAGCAATTACCTGATAACCACATAAGCTGCTTGTTATCATTAAGATAACAGCTAGTGGCTATGGCTAATAATAAAGCAGTGATGTTAATGCTGCAGCTAGGTAGCAAATGTTATCATTCCTGCCCGTCTATGACGTTAATAGAGAATGTTAATTTAATAGCATAACACAGTTATGTGTTAAAATAACACTGTTATTCTTAGCCCCCAAGTGAGGCAGAGAAAAATCTACCAGCAACTACACAGAAATAGTAGCAACTTATCATACCAATTCTTTTATAATCAGTAATATAAATATAATCCCAACTCACCAGAAACACAGCACTACCACACAAAAAAAACCCCACCAACTACCTTTACCTGATACTAACTTATAAGTAAGTCTTTCAAAAAAAGTTTTACTTTCCTTACTATCTCACACTAGAAACAGTAAGCTAGAATTCACATAGCTGAAATAAATACCAGTGGGACAGGATTCACCAGTGGGATAGGACTGACAGTGATAAAAGGACTTAAAAAATACTCAAAACTAGTCAAAACTAATACCTACAGTACTCAAGAATTTTCTTCTCAACTTCTTCTTTCGTATTGTAGCTGCAGCATTTTGTTAACATTTGAAATTTCTATATAAAATAAAGTAAAAATAAATCTATACATCTATCTACCCCTTCTCTACCGTTGCTGACGCACAACTGGGGTTGGTAAGAAGAGGTCACAGATGCCAGGTCAGCCCTTATTCTATATATGAGATTGAAGAATTCCCCGTACGCATGATCCAAGGGCAGTTGGAGGGGTGGCTGCTAGAGAAAGATATATCCTGTGTCTTCTGTGTTCTTCTTTCTGAACAAAGAGAGGGCAGTCAGCTCCTCTTGGCTGCATCCCACTGTCCATGTAGGCAGCCTGATGGGTTCATATCAGCACTAGCTGAGAAGAGGAGAGGGTTTTAGGTCAACCGGCCGATGACTGGCCTTGTGGAACTCAGAGAACGGCCGGATACCGGTAATTTAAATCAGCTCTTGTATGTGCAGGCTTAAATATTTCATGTAAAAACATAACTTACTCTCTTTTATAAGCAAAAAATAGGATAGTGGGTGAATTCAGTAGCTGCTAACACCCAGCTGGAGCCAAAGGAAGCCTTACAAGCAGGGCTGAAGCTTTGCCTGTACTGACACACACCAGGGAGAGCCCTAGGGCACAAAAGACTGCTGGCCAGTGGTCTAAATTCAGCAATATGCTGCTTGTCCCCAGAAATGTCTGCACTATTCAGAGGAGTAGAGAAGTGCTAACATCAACAGAAGAACTGAAAGAGAAAAAAGTGACCCTTCATCTCCCAGCTTAGTCACTTGATCTAAATGGCACTGGGAATGGACTCCCTGCTGCAACTCACTGCACTTAAGTTCAGAAGCTCTAGGAAAACCCAATATATCACCCTTACACTGATGTTTTGTGTTGAAGGTTCAAAAAGGAAATACTATTGGCATGTTTGGGTAGTGGTCAGAGAATGTGGGACCCAAATAACTCCAGGGCTAATTATCATCCCTGACAGAGCGACCAGGCTGGCAAAATGCGGCAGCTGCCACAACGGGTCAGCTCACCTACCAAAGCAGTTATCAGCAGCACAGTGTTTTAATTCTGTTAATAAAGGTGTAGTTCTAAGGTGCAACAAATGGATATATGCTGTCTTCTGTTGAGTCCCATAAGCATGAAGATGTCAGATCTTGAATTTTGGAGCATGCAAAAAAGGTGATAATCAAAGGTGATAACCAAAACTAAGATTTGTATTTCTTGTCTGAAGACATGCACAATGACATCAACGGAAGCTGAAAGCAAAGCTGTCGATTTACCAGTTGAGCTGCGTTCACACCCTCACCTACGGCTACAAGCTCTGGGTAGTGATGAAAGAATGAGATCACAGATAAGAGGCAAACTAGCATTCTCTTAGCGATACGGTGAGGAGCTCAGAGTAGAGGTCCTACTGCTCCATATTGAAAGGAGCCAGTTGAGGTGTTTCAGGCATCTGGCTAGGATGCCTGGAAAAAGGTGTTTAAGGCCTGGGGGCAGACTGGAGAGATTATATCTCTCAGGTGGCTTGGCTTGGAGGAGGTGGCCAGGGAGAGGGAGGTTTAACAACCTAAATCTGGATAAGTGGCAGAAGATGGATGGATGGATGAATGGATACATACAGAACACTTTATGTAAGTAAAGTAAATCTTAACTAGTCGGCTTTGCAGCTGCAGCGTTTAATATACTTTTAGTTTCTTTAGACATTTCATATGTTTAATCATTGTGCTCATTTCAACATGCTCAAGCTCATTTCACTCTTAAATCAGACCTATCTTTTAAAAGAGATTTTGTAAATTAACAGAGTAAAGGCTCTAATACGGCTATGCTGTGAAGTAGTCTCTTGAGCTAGTCTATCTCATGAGATAATCGTACCACAGTTCAATGAGGCCAAGCATAACAAAAGCCCAAACAAATCCCTCTTAGTCACGTCTGGTTGGTGTGGATGTAAAAAACAAGCAACAGGTAGAATAATGAGGTCGCATACACCAACGCTGCAAAAGATCCACTGAAATAATCATACACTAAGTACAGGCAACTACAACTAGCACGTGGCATACACAAATGATAAACGCAGAACAGATAAAGAGGGTGACACTACTGACACAAAATCTTACTTTGAGCCTATAAAAACTTGGATTATTTTCTTAAATTATTCTCTTTTCTTTGCCCATGGTCATTTTCAGCATAACAGCACACCAAGGATCCTTATGGTAGTATGCTGAGCACAAAAATGAGGCTGCATTTACAGTAAACCTCCACACAACCCAATCACGCTGTACAGTCTATTCCTTGCTTATCCATCCACTAAAAGAAAAAAAGTATTCTATTCAAACACTGACTCATAATACAGCAATGTGATGTTTTCAAGGAAAAACCCAATGTTATCCATAACTGCTCCACCAGCCTTAAACACTACTTGGTGCATTCCCAGCTCATCCCTCCTACACACAAGCAGAGCACTATGAATAAGCTTCCTACAGTTTGCCAGCTCTGTCGATGATGTTCTCTCTGCCCTTTTTGCAATAATATTACATTCTTTCCACTCACTAAATAGGGATGCTGCCAATTCATCAGTGGCTTATATATATTCCTGCACATTTTTGTTGATCCACAGGGAACACTTTTAGTTAACCACTATATGCAATGTAGCATGCAAACTGAGACTTTCTCAGTTTGCATGCTACATTCAAGTTAGCCAAAATAACAGCACTTCAAATTTTGCAGTGAAGTTGTGAAGAAAGAGGATGCTATATTCAGGCCACTGTTTCACTGTTCCATCTGCCTGCATGTCTTTAAGCTACAATTAGGTTTTGGATCTTTGGAACAAGTGGGAGCTGGCAGTCGTTGCTTGATGAAGCCAACAAGACCACATTATCTAAAAAAGGCAGATACAAGATCCTGAGGCCACATGACCTAACACCCCTTTAGCCCTTAACTGAAAAATTGTGACCATAAAAATTATCAACACATATTATAGTTAGGACTCATTCCTTGACCTGATATCACAGGAGAACAGCACTCTTATCAACTGGAGAAAACCTGTTCACCACCTCTTACCAAGAGAGACTCTAGAGTGGAACAAAGTCCAGATGAGCTCAGCAATTTCTAGTTATTAACTCACAACCACATGTACTGGCTAAGAGTCCTTAACCACCAGAGGAGTTGCATTGGGGATCTCCACGTCTGAATACCTGAGGCATCTAAACTAGATGTACTACTGCACTTTCTTACACCTACACACATTTCACTAAACACCTGCCCTATTCGCCAAACTTGCTTCTGTGACTTTGCCCTCTTGTAACTATTTTGAGATGCTGGAGGAGTTCCAGCACGTATCATAAAGGCATAAGTATAAGGTGGAGGTAAGTATAAGGTGGACTTCTATGGAGCAGCTGCACTTTATTCAGATTATGCTGAACTGGGCAATAAGCCAAATTTAATCAATGAAGCTCACTCCTGCAAGTTTTTGAACTCACTTTCAAAAGACAGTAGTCATTAGTAACCTGAAATCTTAGGTGATGAGTTGTTTATACACCATATCTTTGTTTCCTATACACTAATATTCAGAAACTAAAATATCTTATACCCCTCGGCGCTGTGCTCCTTTAGGTAGACAGTAATCGGTGTTCCCAACAACTGTAATATTAAAAATGTCTGCTTGGTTTATTTTCTTGTTATTTTACCTGTCTTAAAATTGACAGACAGATTAGAGCTAAATCTTCTTCTAAATTTTGAAGAAAAGATGGCCAACAAAATATACAACGGTCCAAGTACCAAGTAGATATATGGACATTGCTGATAAATCAGGATGTGGAGGGAGGGAGATTAGGTTGGAAAGAGGGAAGACACTGAGAAAAAAGAGGAACAGGAAACCACATCAGACAGAAAATGAAAGAATGAGTGCTAACCTCATTTTTAAGTTGCCAGGTGAGGGCTGTCCATCATAAACCGATACAATATCAAAGTCTTCCTCCAGCGCCAGAGTGACGAAGGTTAGCTGGATTCGGTTCCTCTCCCCTGTTATTATCAGCCATGTACAGTTGGCGTAGTTGGGATAACCATGGGGGAAACCAGGTGACTCTATGGTGCCATTCAGACCTTGGACTACACCACCACAAGACTCAGCTAGAAGAGAAAGAGATAAGACATGTAAGAAAATGTACATCCTGCATTAAAGTATACATTATACAATAAATATATTTTAAGGATACGATCAGGTTCCACGCATTCTTCAGATTTAGTTTTACACAGAGATTAGAACAGTATGATGAAGAGGGAATATGCAAACAATTCAAACTCCCATGACCAAAGTTAAACGTACATTCTTTTATACATTGTGCCCCACACCCTTTAGAAATATTGTAATGGATAGTATATCTGAAGCAAAAATCGAGCAGAGCTTAAATATGTGCAGTATGCAAAGCCCAGTGTTAACAAGCCCATGTCCTCACACACAACTCAAATATAATGCAGGACATGTCTCACAGCCTCCCTCGACACAGTAGCATATGCCATTCAAAGCTTTCATGCAAAGTACTTGAATATGAACACACATGGCATATATTCAGATTTCATAGCCTCCATCCTCTCAGTGTTATCAGTCTCAGAAACATGATCATCCAGAAAAAAACCTACCACAACACATACACTCATATAGACTCATACATGCACAAAAATACTATATGAAGCTTTTTAAATCACATCCACTATGTGATCACATTGCTCGCTCAGTAAACTTCCTTGACATCAAACATTCACATATCAAACACTTGCAAATGTAAGACCTTGTAGAACCCTTAGACTTCCATCCATCCCATCACTAAATACAGGGAGTGCAGAATTATTAGGCAAGTTGTATTTTTGAGGAATCATTTTATTATTGAACAACAACCATGTTCTCAATGAACCCAAAAAACTCATTAACATCAAAGCTGAATGTTTTTGGAAGTAGTTTTTAGTTTGTTTTTAGT